AGGGGATGGGAGGCATGGAAACAGGAAAACACTGGGGCCACACAAAATTAGAAACGAGTTTGTTGACGGGACGACAGGCAATGGGATGGGGCCTTTGGGATGGTAAAGGTTGTGAAAGGCTTTCATAGGAATAGGATAGGCCGATGGGATGGGGCCTTTGGGACGATAAAGGTTGTGAAGGCTTATATAGGAACAGGATAGGCTGTATGTGTGAGGCAAACCTCTGCAGGATTGCAGTAGCCAGATATTAAGCAAGGCTGGATTGACATTTAAACAGTTGATGATTGGCAAGCGGCCTCAGGGACAGCCCTGAACGCCCCCTCCCTGCGCCAAGCCCCCAGGGGATTACCCTACTGTGTGTCTGGGTGCTGCTAGTAAGCCTCCCGGCCAGTAGGGCAATCCACCGTGGTGGGGCAAAGGTTTTTGGGGGGTTGCGCACAGAAGCTGCCCTCCCTTGTTCAGGCGGCTAGGGCCACAAGGGTTAGCCTGACCCTCTTTCTATTTTCTGTTCTCTCCCACTGTCTTTGTGCAAACATGCTTGCCGGGGAGAAGTAATTGGACTGTTGCCCCCCAGAATAGAAGGGGCCTGTGTGATTCTTGGGGAAAAAAAAAAAAAAAGAAACCAAAAAAATTCCATGAATGGCTGGTAGCTCAGTTTGTGGAGCACCAGTTGGAAATGCACATTGTGGTATAAGGTTGCAGGTTCAAAACACCACAGTCTTGCACATGGACACCGGTGGGTGTTGACCAACCTACGGCCATTCACACACTCCCTTTGGGGTGACGCATGGTAATTATTACAGACACTGCCTGCACACCACCCAAGGTGTTTAGTCTGTGGTTGTAGTATGCTGTGGGACTTGGGGGAGGGCTGTTTGAGTGGTTGGCCTTGGGGTGGTCCGGCGAGTGTGTTTGTGTGTGTGTGTGTGGGGGGGGGGTGGTGTGTGGTCCATTGATCTCTGGGTCATGTCTTGTGTACTCACCATGGGCGGGGTAGAGGAGTTAGGTTAGGTAGAGGTCTTAGGCCTAGACTAGGCTAGGTAGGAATTTGTATAGAGATTGTGATCCTGTCTGTGTGCACCGTCTTGTTCGTATGCACTGCTCTGTGGGTGTGTCATGGGTGTGTCTGGGTATCGTAGTAGTTTCCCGGCCTCAGGGTACACCAGCGTGAGTCCATACTTAAATTGTACAATCCTGGTCCCAGTCTGGCTCCTCTCTCTACCCCCCCCTTGGGTAGTGGTAAGGGTTGGGTGTTAGGTATATACGATTCCCAAGGGTGGGCCTCATGTCTACCTTACGATTCTTGTGGGCTGGGCTTTATCTGGGCTGGTACCTATCTGCGTTCCCATTTAGGGGGGTCGATTGGGCCGTGAATCTGGGGAAGGGTCTCTGGGTAGGGGTCTCATCTTAGGCAGGGGAGGGTGGGTTGTCGCATTGATAGGAGAAGAGTGGTAGACACCCATAGTGTTGCGAGATGTGATACAGGTAGGGAATGGCCACATATCTGAGACCTCTCCTGTGTACGGGTTGTCCTTGGGGATTCTGGGTGTCCCTATGGTAGCGCCCGGGGGGGACTCGTCTGAGACCCTAGGAAGGCGCAGGTTGGTGTAGGTCTAGGTCTAGAGACAGGTCTGGGTCGCACTGCTGTAGGGCTCGGCTTGCGATCTGATTAGATGCCCCCTGGAGGAGACTGTCCTCGGGGCTGTCACAAGCCATGTGATCTCCCCACCGGTAGAGTACAACGACAGACACATGCCGAGGCCTAGCATCCAGCCTCTACTACGAGCTGGACTTCACAAGGAAATAAAAGAAAAAGGAAAAAAAAAGAAACCGGGAAAAAAAAAGAAACCGTTAAGTTCACAGAGCTCTGTCATCCGGCCTACAGGAAGTATGTCTTCTGCACTTCCAAGGACCCGGTCAGCCACCGCTCGTCAGTGCGCTGACACGGCAATCCCTCATCACACTGCTGCCGTCCTTCACTCACAGCCCAGCGCTCATAGATGCACACAACAGCGCACACACACACACAACAGCGCACACACACACATTTCACACACTGCTATGGCCTACACACAATTCCCCCTCGCATGGCAGCTATGGCTGCATTTTCTTCTCCATTTGGTAGGTCAAACAGTTCTGTTTCTCTCGTTCACCAATTTCCTCCAGCTTCAGGACTCCGGAATGACGATTCAGCTTCCCTACAAGAGTTTTGTTACTTGGCCTTGGGTACTGGTACTGTTCTGGCATGGACTGGGTTGTGCCTTGCAACCTGCTGGACACCCTGCCTCTATTGACAGCCTACGGATGACACTAAGGCTTTGTTATGAGTTTGTGCAGGTGCAGGTCATGGGATCACGACTCAACAAGCACAAAATGCCTAATGTATATTGAACACCCCCAGCTAAGGTTCTGGGTCCAAATCTCTGCATGCTCAGTCAATGGGAAACACACAGGTGAAGGTCTGTGTTGCATGCTGCGCCTGCAACATGCTGCACGGGCCATTTCCAGGCCCGTGACATTCAGGCTAAAAGCCTGAAAACAAGGGCCTACAGGCCCTGTGTCGTTTCAGCCTGAAAGCCTGAAAACAAGGGCCTACAGGCCCTGTGTCGTTTCAGGCTAAATCAGGGCCTTTCCGGCCCTGAGTGTTTTCAGCCTGAAACTGAGGGCCATTTTCGGGCCCTCATCGGTTCGACCTGCCCTGAAACTCAGGCAACAAACCAGGGTTTTAGCACAGGCCATTTCAGGCCTGTTTTCAAGACAACCCCTGGTTGAGCTTCAA